CCTCCCTCTCCTCTTTTGGTACTGGGTATCGAACTTGGGACCTTGGGCTTGCAAGGCAGGCATGGTGCCACTGAGCTAAACTCCTGGCCCCTTTTTTCTTTCTTTTTTCTGTGCTGAGGATTTAACTCAGGACTTTGCTTATGCTAGGTACAAGCTCTTCTGCTGAGCTACACCCCCAGCCCTATTGTTTGAGACAGAGTCTCCTCAGGTCCCTAAATTACCCAGGCTGGCTTCAAATGTGTGTCCACCAAGCCCAGCCCCAAGTTCCCTTAACACAGTGTATAAGCCCCTGTGGTTGCCTTGCACTTTCATACCCAATTCATTTGCTCAGCCCATCTCCTCGACTTGAAATATTCTGTCTTTCATTCTTTCTCTTTCTCTCTGTCTTTTTAAATTTCAAAACTGGGGATTATTCCTCCGCCTGGCTTACAAGCGCAAGGTCCCGAGTTTGATCTCCAGGACCAAAAACAGAAAAAACCTGGGGATTAAACCCAGGGCCTTTTGGACTGAGCTATATCCACAGCCCTTTTTATTTTTTATTTTGAAAACAGGGTCTCACTAAGTCACTAAATGCATAGGTTCAAATTTGCAATCCTCCTGCCTCGGCAATGCAGAATGCTGGAATTACATGAATGTGCCTCCATGCCCAGCTGGAAATGTTTTCTTTCCTATACTCCCAATTTCCATGTGTGAAAAAGTTAGCCACATTTTTAATTAATTAAATAAAATCTTTTAATAAATTAAGAAGAGGGCTGGGGATTTAGCTCAGTGGTTCTGGCGCCTGCCTTGCAAGCATAAGGTCCCCGAGTTTGATCCCCGGTACCAAAAAAATTAATTAATTAATTAATTAAGAAGAGATGACAAAAAACTAGAAGGCAGATTTTTAGAGATTGGGAAGGGGATGGCGGAGGCAGGAGGAAAGGAGAGGGAAATGGGGACAAAAATCAAAATATGTTATATACATGTATCAAAATGAACTTCATTATTCTGTATCACTAATATGCACCCAAAAGGGGGTGGTCTCTTGATCTTCTATTTGCTGGTACCTATGCCAGAATCTAAAGATATAAAATTAAAAAGAAATAGTTCTACTGGGCATGGCATCAGATGCCTGTAATCCCAGCACTCAGGAGGCTGACACAGGAACATCCTTGGGAGTTCAAGATCACCCTGGGCCACATAGTGAGTTAAGCCCAGCCTGAACTACATAGTGAGACACTGCCTCAAAAAAACAAAAAAAAGGGGGGGAGGTGGCAATGGCTGAAGATGCATGTAGCTCACCAGTAGAGTGCCCCGGGTTGGATCCTCTAAGGGAACCACCCTAAAAGAAAGGAAATAGTTTCTAATCTTTTTTTTTTTTGGTACCAGGGATCAAACTTAGGACCTTGCACTTTGGAGGCAGGTGGTGGAACCACTGAGCTAAATCCCGGCCCAAAAGTTTCTACCCTTAAGGAGCACAGATGTCATTGGAAAGATAAACACCTGTATTGCATAGGTTTGTAAAGGGAACACAGAAGTTTCTAAGCTTTTCAAGGCCTATAGTGATGAAGCCCTTAAAACCTGCACAGATGTCTACCCCATTCTTCCTTCCAAGTAAAAAATCTTCTTTTCTGATTTTCCCCGTTAATACCAATACAAACTCACCACGTTCTGTCATAATTATTCTGTCCCTGTATATTTCTCATTAGATTGAAAATTACATGAGCAGCAACTGTATATTTAACTCTCAAAAAAACCTACCATAGTGCTTTATTTGTTTGTTTGTTTATTTGGTACCGGGGATCCAACTCGGGACCTTGCGCTTGGGAGGCAGGCGGCGGAACCACTGAGCTAAATCCCCAGACCCATAGTGCTTTAAATATAGCAAGCACAAAAATTCTGGCTAAATCCAACAATTGTTGTACAAAATGGAGCTGGAAATTGGGGACAATCTCAAGACCATTAATGCAATATATTTTTATTTATATATTTATTGGTTAAAAAAAGAAAAATAATTTATCCAAAGCGAGCTAATGCAGTATATTTTTATTTCTCTAATTTTACTCTCTAGGCATGACCTGAAATAGGATAGAATTGGGATAGAGAGGACCTGTTTTGCACCTTACAAGTAGGAAACAGAACGAGAGTGGGCCGGGGATTTAGCTCAGTGGTTCCCGGGGCTGCCTCGAAAGCGCAAGGTCCTGAGTTTGATCCCCAGTACCAAAAAAAAAAAAAAAAAGAACGAGAGATACGCACTTTAGGGACTTAGAACTAAAAACCAGCTCTTCATTATTTGCTGTCAATATTTAATCAGTCTCAATTAAATTTTGTCTATGTGGTTAATAGTAGCTTTAGAGTCAGACAGATCTTTTTGAATTCCAACTCTGACAGTTATTTGACCTTGGTCAAATCGGTTAACCAATCTAAGTCTCAAGTTTCTTCATCTGCAAAAAAAACAATAGTTGTACACTTGATAGGGGTGCGAGGGTCAAATAGGTTAATATACTATACATAAAGCTCCCAGCATGGTATCTGGCATAATAAATAGGAGCTGTTCCTCTCTATTGGGTAGTGGAACAGGATCAGTCCCAACCAGGCAGTGGAACACAGAGAAGGAAAAACAAAACATATAAAGGCAGAACAGACCACAGCACGATTTAAAAAAACGTCAGGGGAGGCTGCCTACATTCTCTTGAGGATCACTACAATCTCCCCTCAATGGTTATTTACCCCCACAGTCCTGGAAGACTCACCGTCACTCCGTATTTGAGTGCTAGTCCAGCTAGGGTGTCTCCGGGCTTCAGCTGATGTTCCAGGCGTCTTTCCCTCACCGGGGAGCAGGCTGACTGCACCAGGCTTCCATAAGAGCGAGCCCGGCTCCCTTGAAGCAGCCCTGAGCCCCCGAGGGGCGGCTGTCTAGAGGGAGAAGCCATGTCCTCACTAGCTGGGCTTGCAACTGAGGGAGGCCGGGCTAAGTGAACGACGGTGACGGCCCGAACTCAGGGAATGGATATTCAGGGTATTCCTTTGCCCTGTCTCTTCTTTCCTGAGTCTTCCCGCTTCCCCCGCACAAGTCCGCCCTCTTCCCCTCCTGGCTTCTCCCTCCTCCAAGCGCCTTACTCACAAATCTGTCTCCTGAGTATTCGGTCTCCGTCTTGGTCTCCTCCAGCACCCCTCTGACCTTCGAGCCCTCACACCTCCTCGCTACCCTGACCTCTGACCTTAGAACCGTAGTCACCCTCCGCAACACTTTTCCTCAGTTTCCCTCCAAGTCCGGTAGCTGGGCCTCAGGGTGCCCCCATATCCTGGCTCCGCCTTGTCCCAGGGTTCGTCCGCTAGGGTCAGGAACAAATCGGGCCCACCCCAGGTAGGTTATGGCCGCAGACGCAGCGCGTGAGGATTGCGAGAATTTACACTTTCCAGTCTGAGATCCTCAAGGGCTCTCCCCGCACCAGTCAGGTCACACCCTCAAACTCGGGCTCTACATCTAGGTTCTTGTCTCTCCGAAAGCCTCAAAGCCGCCAAGATGCAAGGGCCGGGATCCAGCTGAGCCGCAAATTTTTGGAAAAAGACTTCATTCCCCAAAAGGCTTCGCGCCTGCGGGGTCGCAGGGCACGATAGGAAATGCAGTCCGGGTAGCACGCTGGAGGCGGGCTTTCCGGATCGCGGAGTGCATGCAGGGAAGCGCGCCCCGGAAGTACGAAAACCAAATGGAAAGAGACCGGAAGAAGGAAAGGAGCAATCCCACTCCTCCTACGGTATCCCGAAGGAGTTGCGAAGTTGGCCCGAGAGAATTGTATCATTTCTGGGATTCAAAGTCGTGATGTCTTTCAAGAGGGAAGGAGACGATTGGAGTCAGCTCAATGTGCTCAAAGTAAGCTCGAGTGGAGAGGGTCTGGAGCAGCTTCAGCTGCCCTTCGAAGACTAAGAAGGAGCTTTGTTTTGTTGCTCTGGCAACTGCTGGGGAGAGGTAGATAGGGAACCAGAACTGGGCAGTGATCCCTTCTCTATATGACTGTTGTTCTTCCCATGATCCTTATTCCTTTTGACTCCTCATTCCTGTTATTTCCCTTCCTCTCATCCTTTCAATGCCACTGATCCTTTCTGGACTTCTTTTCCTACCCCCTGCAGAAACGAAGAGTTGGAGATTTGCTGGCCAGTTACATCCCAGAGGATGAAGCGCTGATGCTACGGGATGGACGGTGAGAGCGAGAGATAAATTAACCCCGAGGGTTCCGCGGTTAGACCCTCAACAAACGTTTGCTATGAAGGAGAGCGGGGGGGATCTAGAATTTTTTGGTCTTTTCTTTTCTTTCCTTCCTTCCTTCCTTCTTTCTTTTTGGGTACCGAGGATCGAACTTCGGACCTTGCGCTTGTGAGATAGGCGGCAGAACCACTGAGCTAAATCCCCGGCCCTTAGAATTTTTTGGAAGGAAGTGAAAAGACTGGAAGAGGAGACTAGGAAACCTGGGAGTTAGGTTTTGGAAAGGACTTCTAGGATAAGGGTGCGCCCTACCCGCCACGGCAAGAATCCCCTCTGTCCTTGGGCTTATTATCTTCTTTCCCTCCCTTCTCAGCTTTGCTTGTGCCATCTGTCCTCATCGACCTGTACTGGACACACTGGCCATGCTGACTGCCCACCGTGCAGGCAAGAAGCATTTATCTAGTAAGTGAGGGAAGACAGGGGATAGAGAATAAACTCTGCAGTCCGTCCTTGCTGCTATGTTTTTAATTCTCTTTCCTTTTCTCCTCAGGCTTGCAGCTTTTCTATGGTAAGAAGCAGCCAGGAAAGGAATCGGAGCGAAATCCAAGACCACAGAATGAATTGAGGACGGAAGAGACCAAACCTGAGGTAACCAGAGGGGGAACAGTGTTTTCCAAGAAGGACCGTGCTGCACACAACACATTTAAAGGACTCTTGCTTCTGAAGGCCCTAACTTGGTCTCTCATCTCTACCAGGCTCCTCTGCTAACTCAGACTCGACTGATCACCCAGAGTGCTCTGCATAGAGCTCCCCACTATAACAGTTGCTGCCGCCGGAAGCACAGGTCTGTGGGCAGGGTGGGAAAGGTCGAGGTAGGAAAGGACAGGAGATAGATGCCCCTACAGTTATTGTTTCCCACAATAGTTTGGGCGTGGTGGTGCACACTCGAGGAGGCTGAGGCAGGAAGATCACAAGTTTGAGCTCAGCCTGAGCAATTTAGTGACTTAATGAAACCCTGTCTCAGAATAAAATTGGGCTGGGGATATAGCTCAGTATGAAGGCCCTGGGTTCAAGCCTCAGTACTGCAAAAAAATAAAGTAAGTGTTTTCCAACTTGCATTCTAAGGAATACTAGTGTTCAGGATATGTTAATTGGTGTTCCAGAAAAAAAAAAATTAACGGTATATTTTAAAGCCTGTACAAAGTCTTTTTTTTTTTTTCTTGTACTAGGGATTGATCCCAGAGCCTTTGCACTGAGTTTTATCCCAAGCTCCCTCCACCCATATTTGTTTTGGCTTTTGGAGACAAAGTCTCCCTATGCAGTTCCGGCTGGTCATGAACTTACTATATAGCTCAGGATGGCCTTGAACTTTCAGCAATCCTGTTTCAGCTTCCCAACGCCCCTCCCTTTTTTTTTTTTAGTACTGGGGATCAAACTCGGGACCTTGCGCTTTCGAGGCAGGCGGCAGAACCACAGAGCTAAATCCCTGGCCCCCCATCTCTTTTTATTATTTTAGAGACAAGATATTCCTAAGTAACCCAGGCTGGGATCAAACTTGCAATCCTTCTGCCTACGCATCCTGAGTAATTGGGACTATGTATTCATGTGCCACCATGCCCAGCTGTACAAAATCTTTTCCCTTTCTTTTTTTTGGTACTGGGCATCAAACTTGGGACCTTGTGCTTGCGAGGCAGGTAGCAGAACCACTGAGCTAAATCCTCGGCCCCAGCTGTACAAAATCTTAAGATTTAAAAATTTTTATTTATTTATTTATTTATTTTTGGTACCGGGGATCGAACTCGGGTACTTATGTTTGCAAGGCAGGCAGCGGAACCACTGAGCTAAATCCCCGGCCCAAAATTTTTAATTTTAATACAGCTTTTCCCAATTTATATTCCAAAATCCTTTTTATGCAGAACATTTATTATGAGGCGAGCATGGCGGCACATGCCTGTAATCCCAGGACTCAGGAGGCTGAGTCAGGAGAATGTGAATTTGAGGCCAGCCTGAGCTACATAGTGAGACCCCTGTCTCAAAATGTAAACAAGGGCCAGGGATTTAGCTCAATGGTTCCGCTGCCTGCCTCACAAGTGCAAGGTCCTGAGTTCGATCCCCGGTACCAGAAAAAAAAAATATATCTTGAGGAACATAGTTTAAGAAACACTGCTCTAAGGAGTTGGAAGTCAGAAGAGTTGGTGTTTTCCTTCACTGCTTCTACAGGCTTTGATTCTTCTCTACACAGACCAGAAGCCCCTGGTCCCTCAGACTCCCACTCCCCTTTGCCAGCCCGAGAGATTGAGCTCCAGAGTGAGAGGATCAGCAGGGAACCAGAGCCTGAGCCTGGCCTGCAGGCTAAGGAGTCAGCCACTGCCTCAGACCCTGCACCCATGAGCCCCACAAGAAAACGAGCCCTGGACCATTACCTCACCCTTCGAAGGTGGGTATGCCAGTCACTGTCCTAAGATTTTCTCCCCATCCCTCCTTTCTTCTAACCTAGCTAGTTTTTTTTAAATATTAATTTTTTTGAGACTGTCTCACTATGTATCCCAGGCTGGCCTTGAGCTAGCTAGCTATGTAGTCCAGGCTGGTCTCAAACTTGCAGTCCTCCTGCCTCAGCCTGCCATGTACTGGGATTACAGGTGTGCACCACCAGGCCTGGTTCCAGTTGTTTGTTTTTATTGCCACTAACTTTTTATAAACTTCTTTCCTAACCAGTTCTGTTTTCTTCGTTTCCAGCTCTGGATGGATCCCAGATGGACAAGGTCGATGGATAAAAGATGAAAATGTTGAGTTTGACTCGGATGAGGAGGAACCCCCTGATCTCCCCTTGGACTGACAACTTTTTTTCTCCATTTGTTTCACAAATAAACCACCATGGGCGCTGGGAGCCTAACTTTGCTCAAGTCAGGTTCCTTGTCCAATCAGGCTTTCGGATCTGTTCATTCTCAGCCTGGCCACTCCTTCCCTGCAATGTACACAGCTCCCCATACTTCTGCCCCTCCCCCACCTGCCACCAAAGTCATTCCAAGCGTCAGCTGCACACAGCCGGGCGCCCTATTAATAAGTCTGTCAGAAAGAGGTCTTTGCCCTTCATGTTGTCTGCTTCCCTTCCCAACTCCATTCAAAGTCCTTCCCTCTTCAGATCATATGAGAGCTGTGAGCAGGCCATGGGGGGCTCTGGCCATTATCAGGAAACAGGATTGAGGCCAAGAACCCTGTGGAAGTAGAAAGACTAAAGGCATTGGCAGGTTTATGGGGAACACCAAGTGAGGGAGCTCCCCCACCTCTTAGTAACCTGAACCACCCTGCCTGCTGATCCCCAGAGTATAAATAATCCCCTGATGAACTGGCAGTAACTCTTGGGGGTTAACGCCAAGATTCCCACCCAAAAGCCCAAGGAAGGAGGAAGGAAAAGTGGACAAAAAGGCCTTTATTTACAGGAAAGGGAAAGGGATGAGAATTTACGTGTCCAGGGCTCCTAGCTCTCATTGGTAAAGGAAAAGGCAATGTTATCTCTTCTTTTGCTGGCGACCTATAAAGATGGAAAAGTAAACATAATCCTTTGTTCTGTCTCCTGCTTTTGGCAAAGGCATTCTCCTTTCCATTTCCTTAGCCAGGTTCTTACAGTATTAGTGTTTTAGGCCACCTGATAGGCCACTGCACACTAACAACAAGGAACTACACCAAAAATAAAAATGTGTCTAGTTAGGTGCAATAGTGCACCACAATAATCCCAGCACTCTCAGAGGCTGAGGCAGGAGCCCAACCTAGGCAATTAGTGACTTAGACCCTGTGTCAAAATAAAATGAGCTGGGCTGGGGATTTAGCTCAGTGGTCTTGGCGCCTGCTGCGCAAGGGCAAGGACCGAGTTAGATCTCTGGTACCAAAAAAATAAAATAAAATAAAATGAGCTGAGGATGTAGTTCAGTATGAAGGTCCTGGGAACAATCCCCAGGTCTGAAAAGAAAATTACATCTAGCCAGGCACTATGGTGCATACCTGGCACATCTGTAATCCCAGCACTCTGGAGGCTGAGGGAGGAGGACTCTGAGTTCAAAGCCAGCTTGGGCTACAAAGGAGACCCTCTCAAAAAACCAAAACAAAAATCAGCTCATCAGGAGGCAGGATCAAAAGTTCAAGGTCAGCTTGGGTGACTGAGGGAGACCCTGTCAGAATTAGAAAATGGTTGGGACCTCAGTGGTATAGTCCTAGCATGCATGAGGCCCTGGGTTTACATTACAGTAATTACTACAGTAATTATACATTACATCCCTGGTACTACATGAAAAAAAGTTATATCTAGATTCCTTCCCACCTCTCTGATGGTATATACTCGGACAGGAAGACTTTCCTA